AGCTCCCTGCTCACTATTTTGACCGTAATTTTTGCTTCGTGACTCTAAATGAGACTTACTATATATCAAATTGAAGCTCTTGACGAGCTCTACAAGACTCATAGTCTTTGGCTATGATTGATGCTATTAAAAGTTCAAAAAAGACCTAGAAATGGAAGTTTTGGCCTCTCGAAGTTTTTCCAATTGTACCGGTCAACCGAAAATTCAAAATTAATCGAATATCCTCCTTTCCAAAGTTTCATTGGACATAGGGCGTTAAGAGACAAATGATGGGCCAAGTCCAATGGCCCAACTTATATTATAAGCCCGGTTCGAGTTTATAGCCCATCTCCAAGAGATCCAATAAGTCCAGCTCAATGTGGTCAATGCAGACATGCTTCTCAAGATCAAGGAGTTACATCAGCAAGGGAGCATGCAAAGTCATCCAAGAGTCTCCTCCTAGCCACCTTGGGGTAAGGGTCATCCCAAGAGCCTCCTCTACCACTTTGGAGTATGCAAGGTCATCCAAGAGCCTCCTCTACCACCTTAGAGTAAGGGTCATTCAAGAGTCTTCTCTACCACCTTGGAGTAAGGGTCATCTAAGATCCTCCTCTATCACCTTGGAGAAAGGGTAATCCAAGAGCCTCTTCTACGACCTTGGAGTAAGAGTTATCCAAGAGCTTCCTTCTCGCCACCTTGGAGTAAGGGTCATTTCAGGAGCCTCTCCCTCGCTGCTTAGAGAGAGTCAACATTCTCTCACCCTTTGACCAAGTCCTTTGGAGAGTACCATAACTTCCTTGTCGGTTGAAGAGAGGAGATGAGATGAGAGATCACCAAACTATTTAATTACTTTTAAAGTCACCACAATCCGTTATGACTATTAAATGGCCCCAATCCGTTATGAATGTCAGACTAGCCATTCAATTACTACACTAAGCCACTATAAATTGTAAACTCCACCAACACTTGGGAAGCATCTCAGTCATTTGAGTATAATTCTCCCATCTCCCTCTCAAAGCTTGTAACTCTTTGCTCTCTCTACACACCGGAGTTAATAAAATACCGACAACCCTTACTATTCAAAGTTGACGTAGGTCATATTGACCGAACCACTATAAACCTTGTCTTCTCTTTTCCTCTACTTTACTGCATTTTATATTACTTAATTAACAGGTGGTGTGTAAACCAATTTTGTGCATCATCAGATTCAATAGTTTTGTTTTTGGATTCTACTGAAGTTTGTTACATTCGCACCATGTACCTTATCGGCTTCACTAAAAAAGTGTAATATATTCAGCCTACTGCCTAACTGAAATCAATGCATATTTTTGGCGTGTTTCACTGCTTAAATTGGATAGTGATTTTTTTTTGATTCGTGGTGATGATGATGGATGTTTTGATTATTTCACTATCCTATTTGGACAGTCATATGAGTGCATGGGGCTGAAGTGGGTAATGGTGATACAGGTAGGTGTGATGACTTTTACAGTGAAATACCAATTTGGCTATTAGATTTCCTTCTTTTATCATTGTCTTCGATAATTGTCGAGTTTTTGAGGCATCAGAAGGTGAACTCAAGAAGCCTACGGAGACAACAGGTGTTGAATCGTACCATCATCGGTATGTTCATGCATTAAGCAGTGGAAAACCATATATATCCCAAATTTGGTATGGGATTCCAAATGAATAAAATTTTTTGGATGAGTGAGTCCCATCAGAAAAAGTTAAAAAAATACTATATAACTCAATTTGAAACTCAAATGAAGGGGACCATTGGATGAGTGGATTGGGAGTTACTCATCCAATGATTCCCCTTCATTCGAGACGCAAATTTGAATTGTAGGTTTGAGTTATATAACATTATTCAAAAGTTAACGAGACTCACTGATCTAAGTATCCCTATTGATTTGGGATATAATTCGGGATCCCTAGCATTACTCATAAGCAGGAATTAAACCCATGGTCTGCAGCCAAAAAGAAAACTCCCTTGAAAGGAGGAGCATACCACTTGTAGCTATTCTGGCGCACTGGTTCAGTTTTGGGGCTGGGTGTTTCCTTAAGACGCAATGCAAAGGGTTGATAACTGCACAAATTGGCAAAACGTCAAGTTTAAGATATCGGAAACAATCACCTAATCGCAAAGAAAATTTTCACACACGGGGTTTGACCTTGGATATCCTTTATCTCCGTACGACCTTAAATAGAGAGCAATATAGTTGAGAGGAAAACATGGGGAAATTATCGAGGTCAGATCCAGTAAAGCTTACCACAATATGCGATCTCATGTTATTTGTCACTGGCTTTCGAAGAAGAAAATTTCTGGGGTTCAGCAAGATACTTTATTCATCAACCATCACAATCCAGAGAGCTCATGATACATCGGCTCATTGAGTAACAACAGAATACAATAATCTACCCACAAAAAACAGTATAAAATATGCTCGAGTCAGAAACAAATACAATATTCAGATGCCCTCGAGCATGCATGCAAAGAATAAAGAAACAACCCCACTATGACTCATAAAACTGTTTCACTTAAATATTAAGGAAGATGATTCCATAAAAAAATTTACACAAATCAATTGAATCACAAGCTTGTTTCAATTAACAATCCAAGTTGCAATGTTGTGACAGCAAAATTGCAAGAATGTGTACATATAAAACACATTGCTTGACCCTGTTCCAATTTTCAAAATGACAAGAAACCCAGTATAATTTCTCTCATGGCTACCTTCGCTAATCTTGAGCAGTGCACAAGCATTTTAGATGAATGTATGTAAAAGAATGACAACTTGCAGTCTTAAATCCTCATTGTTCTTCGAGTCATAGCCTACGAACTCCTGAGGTTAAGGTCTTCTCATACTCTGCTTGCTTCTGACCTAATTCTCGTATAACCTGACAGTAGACAAAACAAAACACAAGCCACAATGCTTTGTCAAGATTCTTAAATGATTAGCTTCAAACACACTTCAAGGATATACCAATAAGTAACACATTGAAAAAATACAGTTCTATTTTTCTTCAGAAAACAAAAACAGGCAGTAAGGGATTTTTCTAGTGCCAGAGTCGAACCCCACCCATGGGACGCAGTATACAAGAGCATTACTATGACAAGTTAAAACAATATACCTGTTGAACACTAATGATCTCTCCACACCACTGGTCTCAAGCCTATTATAAGAACTCATGTGAAGACTATGTCTCAAGTAATTAACTGAATGTGGTTGCTGCATTGAATTAGAAACATTGTTCATTCATAGTAGAAATCAATCCACCGCATAGATTGATTAGTCAGTTGATATTTGAGAATTGGCATATTCACAATTTGCTAAAGCATGTTCTCCACAATGGTCATTGCAGAAGTGCAGCATACATTCTGACAGTATCTACCCCTCATTTTCTAATTGTAAGGTTACAATGTTACACTAACATCTAATTTTTATATTCTTCCACAAAGCTTATGACAGCAATCATCCACTTGAGGCTAGTGACAAAAGATCAGATGAATGAAAAATAATGTATCACCATGACAGAAAATTAGGAATGCGATCAAGGATTGAAGATAAACGCTCAACTTTGAAACAGAAGCAATGTCTGAAACATCAGTTTCACAGTCCAAACCATACAAGTGTGTATAGACTATCATCTTATTCAAGACGAGTAAACCCACAATTTCATCTTCTTGGGTCAAAGGATCATTACGTCATCCTAGACAAAATATAAATTACAGCTACAAGCCAGCTACTCTTACTGCTTTAGCAATATCTACACTGCAGGCGGCACTAATTAAAGAGTACAAACAAGTGAATCGAACGTGTCTTTCACATGTGCTTTTTGTCACGTGGTTTGAGACACGTGGCTTCATTAACTAACTCAATCATGTGCAGCCATTTTATGCCCCTTCACTTGCACCTCAGAGGATGTCCGCCATGTGGCACACGTCTGCCGTTCTCTGACCTTTCATCCGCATTTAATGCATTGCTTGGTTTTTCGTAAAAATACACTGTGCACGTCTTTTCTCTCTACAGAACGCCTTGCTTCATTTAATGCAAGTGTTCCTTCAACTGCAAGCGTTGTTTCCCTTGCCGCCTTTCCTTCCCTTTTTTAAGGAGGTCATCTCTTTCCTTTTCCTTTCCACTTCCTCCATCAAAGCTTTCCAGAGCTCTTCCTCCTTTCTCTGCAACTTTTTTTGTATTTTCCATGGCTCCCCTTATAAAAGAGGATATTCCCTCCTTCAAAGCTACTTACGGTATCCTAGACGATGTGGAGGTTAGGATACCTAGGAGCAATGAGGCCCTTATAGGTTCCAAGGAGTCCAACCCTATGTACACAATTTCTATCACTAAAGGTGGAGTTCATTTCCATCTTCATCTCCTTCTCAGGGTCCTTTATGCATTTAAACTCTGCCCCCTTTAATGGTGTCCCAACTTCTTTCGAATGGTGATGGGGGTTGTGGCCTTGAACAATCTCCTTGGCACCAACCTTGCTCTCTGGGAAATTTTGTACTGTTATATCGTCAAGCTAGCTGATGATAACAACTACTACCTGGCAGTCAGGAACAAGAGCCGCTACCTCATCACTCATCTTCCTGATTCAGTCTGTCAACCTGGAGGATCTTAAGAAGGTGTGGTCTTTCAACGAGAACCGCTTCTGCCGGGCTGCACACCAGCTGCTTGGTTATAACCCATCATACCGTTCTTTCATAGTTGTTTCAAACAAGCCTAACGCTCGCCTGGCCAAAGACAGAGAAGTACTCAAGACCCTTTGAGCTTCTATCCCAAGATCTCGTCAAAAATCCGCTATCTCTAGCCAAGGTCAGCCGGTGAAGAACTTCATTAACCTTTGTCTTCAGTTCTTCAGATGCATCCCCAATTATTATCCTGACTGCTCCTGCTTCTCAAACTCCCCTTGCTGCTCATGATCTTTCCTCGCCTCACGACTCTACTCGGCCAAATGTGGCCAAGGCCAAGACAATGTCAATCCTGGATAATGATCCAGCTACTGCTCCTATTGCCGACTAGCCCAAAGTAGCAGATACCCCAAGCAATGATGCTCTTGGGGATGCTGCAGCCACTTCTCCTAAGACCCATCGAGCAGACGAGTCTTCTCTCGAGTTGACTAGGCGACAAAAACACATCGCCAAAAAGACTAAGGCCATGGAGATCAGCAAATATAATCAAGGCTATGAGATGATTTCTCTTTTCCACTCCGTCTTGAAGGCCAAAGGCAGAGAGATTACCATGAAGGACTCTGTTGTGGCCAATGTGAACGTTGTTGTTGGCATAGCTAAGGAGTGATACTCTAGATTTGGCTGCCAATGAATTGATGAGCGACATCCAGATCTCCCGAAGTGCCCTTCAATCGATGGTGCTTGTAAGTTTCCTTTTTCCTTATGCAGTTTGATGTGCTAAGAAAATTTACTAAGTGTTTTTGTTGCTGGGTCTCCAACGGGTATACAAGGTTTGTGCCTGAATTACTTGAAAGGAGAAGGCCATGAAGAAGGCCATCTATGAACGCATGGCAGCCCTGGAGAAGAACGATCAGCTAGACGCCAAGGTTTCAAAGCTTTTTGAGAAAGTCCAGGTTGTCCAAGCCTAGATGACCGATCTGGAGAAAGAGAGATCGTTTGTGCTCGTCAAATGACAAGTTGAAATCATTCGAGGCCGAGGATTCTCATGAGCTTTCCTAGACCCAAGAAGAACATGCTACCCTTCTTGAAGAGTTTGAAACTTTAAAGCCAATTCTAAGTCTAAGGAGGATGCAGCCTTTGAAGGTGGCATGAAGAAGGCTGAAGAAGAGCTGGCCCAACAAGTTAGTCAGATTGAGAAGATGAACTTCAAGAAGGGTTGAGATAAAGCTCTGTGCTGCAAGTGTTCTGCCAACCTTCAAGCTCTTTTCTCGTCATGAAGTCAGTGCTTCGAGTTGCTCTAGATCGTGTTGTTCTGTAAGTCCTGTAGTTTGTCTTTTTATTTCAAACATATAAAAATCTTCTAACCAATATAATGAATCTTTGTAATCCTTGGTTGGCCTACATTCATATAAATTCATGCCTCGTTCCCCCATTAGAGAAGCTCAGGCTCAATAAAAGGCCAAGGCCTTTCGTACTTCAGAAAAATCCATACCCCCTTCCCCTAGCAGAAAGGCTTGGTCTCAATGAAGGATTCGGGCCTTCCATACTTTGAAAAAATAAATGCCCCTTTCTCCTAGTAGAGAGGCTTGACCTTAATGAAGGGTTCAAATCTTCCATACTTCAAAAAAATTATGCCCCTTTCCCCTAGCAGAGAGGTTCATCCTTAATAAAGGTCTAAGGTCTTTATACTTGGTCACTTGTGACTATTGCACTGACCCGTAGATCTGTTTGGGCTCAAATCTTTACTCATTCAGCTTCCATCGTCGTGCCTAACCTTGGGCTTGAGTTTGATCGGGTGGCTACACCTGAGATAGGTCCCTGCCTCTGTCAAAATTTTTTCCTACCTACCTTGGCCATAGGTTGTCTAATGCCCAAGCCTCCTCTAGTCTTCTGCCTAGAACTTCATTTGTCGATAGGGCTTTTTCCCTTTACCTTTGGCAAAAGCTCGTTTGATCATACAGAATTTACAAAGGCACTTTGTAATCAAAACTTTTATTAATTGACATAAAACGCCTTATAGTTTAAAAAGACTTAGCTAGCTAATCTTAAAGGTACTTCATGTCAATATCTATATTAAAGGTAATTCGATCTTCGCTTGCTCCAGAACGTACTTTGGAAGTAGTACTTTCGAAGGTTCACTATGTTTGAAGGCCATGGAAGTGGTTTCCCCTCTATGGTCTTGAGTTTGTAGGACCCATTTCCATCAACTAATATGACCATATAAGGTCCTTCTCAATTGGCCCGGAGCTTTCCTTATGTCGGTTCTTTGGTAGTGCCCATAGTTTTCCTAAGGACCAAATCCTCGACTAAGAATCCCCTCGAGCAAACCTTTCTGTTATGAGCTCAAGACATCTACTGCTGATAGAATACCATTCTCATGGCTGCCGACTCTCTTTGTTCTTCTGACAGGTTCAGGTCCTTCATGATGGACTCCTCGTTTTTATTATTGTATGCCAATTCGGACCTAAGAGTGGGGAGACAGATCTCTAGTGGTATAACTGCTTCCAACCTGTTGTAGTGTGGTTCGGTACGTCCACAGTACATTGGACAACTCTTCTACCCATGTTCCATTAGCTTTTTCCAATCTCCCTCAATCTTTTCCAAGATCGTTTTGCTTGATATCTCTACTTGCCCATTTCGGATCCCATAGTGTTGGCAAAACGCTTTCAATGGTTCACTGTCGAACTGGATGCCATTATCAAAGACTAGGGATGCCAAACCTTGTAATTATATTTCTCCGTACAAATCTCTTTGTATTAGTGTCTCGTATATTCGCCAAGGGCTCGACTTCTATCCATTTCATGAAATAGTCAATTCCTACAAGAAAATACTTCTTGTTTCTAGGTGCTTTTGGCATAGGCCCAACGATCCCCATTATGTGAAGGGTTATGAACTTTTGGCATTTTTCACACTGTCTTACATATCACTACACATCCTTCTACATATAGAGCCACCAATTGCCATGTGATGCTTGGTGCGTTAGGGATCTACCTCCTATGTGGACCCCACAACTTCCATCATGAATTTCAATAAGAAAATCCTAAACTTTAGCTGGGAGTATGCAGAGTGGGAATGGAATCGTGAAAGATCGTCAATACAATTCGTCTTTTGAAGACAACAAGAACCTAGCTACTTTCAACCTTAGCTTGTGAGCCTCTTTTTTGTCTTTAGGAAAATCCCCATTCCGTAAGAAGTCGATGATCAGGTCCATCCAACTAGAGCCTAGTTTGACTAACATAGTTTCTTCGATTGTTTGTAGCTCAATGCTCAGTCCATCTTGGCACTCTACCAAGATTGTTCTAGTTGGGTTTTCCTTCAAAGCATACGTTAGTGCTACTAAGGCATGAGCTTGTGAATTTGTAGCCCTTGTGATTTGCTGGATGACAACTTTCAATTTTTTCTTAAATCGGTGGTAGATAGCTTATGGTATGCCATCATTCGTTCATCATTCGCTAGATACTCGCCTAATAGTTGATTCACGACAAGTTAAGAATTAGAATAGATGTTCAATTGTTCGGCCCCCATCCCCATAGTGAGCCTTACGTCGGCTAGTTGAGCCTCATTATTTGACGAGTCGAAATCCAATTTTACTACCTCCTCCAGCACATCTCCTTATGGGAATTCTAAATTTATGCCTCTCTGGCTCCTTTTTAGTTTGATGAGCCATCAACGTATAGCTTCCAATAATCTTTAAGCTCTAGGGTCTTTTTTCCTTTTCCTTAGCTCCATTTTTTTCCCTTATTTCAAATCCCATGGCATTTGGAGTGTTCTAAAGTTCGTCAGGGGTTTTGTCATCTCCGGGGGCAAACTCTGCCATAAGGGCGACTACCACTTACCCTTTAATTACAATTCATAGCTCGAAAGTAACATCATACTCCTCGATCTCTATCATCTATTTTGATATTCTTCCTAATAAATCAACCTTTCTAAAGAGTGCCTTTAGCGGTTGGTCTGTTGGAACCGTGATCGTATGAACTTGGAAGTAATGTCTCAATTTCCTAGCAAGCTAACCAAAGCTAAGGCTAGTTTTTCTAACGGCAAGTACCTAGTTTTTGAGTCAAGGCTTGTCTTGCTCACATAGTAGATTGGCTCCATCTCCTTCTCAAATTTTTTCATCAGTGCTCTGCTTACTACATGTTCTAAAACAACTAAGTAGATATATAATGATTCCCTTTGCTTGGGAGTCATCAGTATGGAAGATGCTGCCATATATGATTTTAGATTATTGCAAGCATTCTCGCACTCTGGGGTCCATACTCCTCCTACCCTTTCTACGCCAATGCTTCAAAAAAGGCCTACACTTATCGGATGACCTAGAAATAAATTTGTTGAAGGTTGTGCCCATGCCAATTAGCCTCTACATTGACAATTTTCGATGTTTTGAGTTCTATCAGGACTTTTACCTGGACGGAATTGGCCTCGATCCCCTGCCTCGTGACCAAGAAGCCTAAGAATTTACTCGAAAAGACTCCAAAAGCACATTTTTGTGGCTTTACGCCTCATCCGATGGTCTCACATGTCAAACGTCCTCTGGAGGTCGGCAAGGTAGTCGGTGACTCTTCGACTATGGACCATCATATTATCAATGTAAACTTTCATAGTGCCCCCAACAACCCTTTGAACATCCTCGTAACTAACATTTGATATGTTGCTGTAGTATTCTTAAGTCCGAAGGGCATCACATTGTAACAGTATACCCCTTGCGAAGTAATGAATGAAGTCTTCTCTTGGTTTGGGCCAAAAAGAGGTATCTTGTGGTATCCCCTATAGGCATTGAGAAAACTCATTCGCTCGTGCCCTAAAGTGGAATCAACAAGTTGGTCAATCTTTAGCAAAGGAAATCTATCTTTATGGCATGCTTTATTGAGATCGGTGAAGTCTACAGAAACCTTCCACTTGCATTTTTTTCTTAACTATCACCGTGTTTGAAAGACTAATCGGACACTGCACCTATCTGATTGAGCGTGCCTCCAACAACTTCCCAACATCTTCATTGACAACTTCCACATACTATGGTACTGACCTCCTTTGCTTCTGCTTGATCGGTTTAAAGTTTAGATCTACATTTAGGTGGTGGTAGTTGACTTCTGGATCAATACCTAACATCTCATATTTAGTCCAAGTGAACACATCTAGGGGTGTCAAACATGTCGGGCTAGGTTATTTCGTGTCGGGTTTATTTCGAATTTGTGTCAAAAATCTTAAAACTCAAACCTGACATGTTTAATAATCATGTCAAGATATCTAAATACTAACCTGACATGACAATTAAACGGGTTACCTGAACCCGACCTATTTGATACGTTTAATAAACAGGTCGTTTTCGGGTTAACATACATAACATGACATGTTTAACTTATTTAGCACAAATAACACGGACATGTTTAACACAACATATTTCCACACCAATTCATTACTATTAAATACATAATTCAATTATTCATCTAAAATTTCAAATAATTTTTTTATAAATAACTTATCACATCTCATCAATGAAATTAACTAAAATGCATTCAAGTTTCAACCCAAAAATTAAAGCAAGCACTATACTAGTATACTGTCATAATAATGTTAAAAATTATACTATCAATTATTATAGTAGAAACAAGAACTAATAAGTAATAATATTAACAC